CCCAGTGCAAAAGAGAAACCTCGATAAAAAAAAGCCTAAAAACACGCCAAAAATAACCCCAAACCCAAACCTCTGCTTGGAGAGTACAATATTCGATCCGGTATTCGAATTTTCGAAAGTGGCTCATATCAAATTGATATAATGTTAACAAGTTATAATTCACTAAATTGCCATGCGGCCGGCTGTTCGTCCGGTCAGGCATAGATAATGCCCTGGTGCCTTACACTGGTGTTAACCTTTCTTAAAACACCTGTTCTTCCGAGAATCACCTTTCTTATTTTACAACGAGGGCCTCTACCAGATATCACCTGAACTGCAGCAATCATCCTGCCATTACTCAGAAGGCGGAAGTGGGATCATCGCAAGCTTATTTGCATCGATTATTGAATACACACCGAGCCACACACAGCCATCATCGCCATGTTTGAGCACACCGTGTGGTACTTGATGAACTAGAATCTAAACAGGTAAATCACGCTGGAAGTTTCAGCTCGTCTTCAGTCGGTAATTTTCGGCGGCCAGCACGCGGGATATCCACGCGGGGGTTCGGTCGTGTGTGGACCGTTAGCTTCCGGGTTTGAGTGGCGCCGCGGGCGGGGTTGTGGAGAAGGAGTCAGCTCTTGCCGCCAGCACCAGAGATGTTTCGGTTTGGCAGCCGGGTTTCTGTCCTTCCCCGTGGTCGGTCGGACGTGCGCTACCAGTGCACGGTGAGGCTGCTGGACGATACGGAGATCCAGTGTGACATTCAGGTAGGGGAGAGTACTAGTACTTGAACTTCGGCTTGACATTTGGCTTTGTTGTGATTTCACGGGGGAGGGGGGTGCAGAGGCAAACACAAAAGGACACCCACCATGAAACATATGGGCACGATTTGGTCGCTTAAATTATATATAATGGGTTGTGTTTTATTCAATTTTGTGCGTGTGTAGGATCTCTGAATAATCCGTTATGTGGACATCTACTTTCGTGACACGTCTGAGCTGACAGCGTTTGTGATAACCACCAAGGTTTCCAGACAAAGACACGCCACCTAAATCTTACTTTTCAGAAAGGGCAGTCTTTGTTCTGTCTGTTCTGTGCACTCAAATCCAGACATATTGTGGCACAGATGCTGTGTACGTGTGGTGGGCGGTCACGGTACATGTGTGTGTGTGTGCCCTACATTCGCGGTGATCTTTATCTGCATACGTTCATTTAGACATTTATATTACGGATGAAAAATGGGGTTTGGCCATTGGATACAAGATGAAACTACGATATAGGATTAACGGATTGCGAGATGGATATAGGATTATGAACATGTCTAACAGAAATGACAGATTATACAGACTAATGTTTGCATGATTTTTCTTCCACACTTTACTACCAAATGGTTTCAGCTTAGGGTGTAACATTACATGTTCGCCTTTAATTAATTTCCTTTGTCAAAAGGGTACTAGTATAAGATCAGTCTGCTTTAGGCCCACTTTAGACTAGAAACGTTTTACCACTCCGAAACCCCTCGAAACCCTTTGCCACCGGCAACGATTTGCTATAGACACAGGGGTAGAAGGCTATGCAAATGTGGATGTAATTTGCATAATTTATGGAAAAATTCTATAAATCAGCTGCATTCCATCATAGGACTATTGAAGCGTATGAGAGAAACACAGGCAGATATCGATATGTAAATGTGACTAATTTGCATAATTAATGGGAAACTGTTATAATTATGTAATGATAACTGCCTGGAATATTATACTTGTGGTATTTGAAAGTTCAGTGAAGGTGAACATCATTAAACATAATGTTTTCAAATGACCTCATTTGCATAATTTATGAGGAAATGCTAGAATGGCATTTTTTGGTTGAGAATATGATAAATTGATATAATTCATGAAAATGAGGATCCTTTTTGCACAATCAGGGGGAATAATCTATAATTTGTCAGTCATAAAGATTTGGCGAAGGTATGAGATCGCGGAACTCTAGTTTGTCTTGCGACACAAGTTAACATTTTTACTGTTTGCTAGTTAAATGCTACACACATTTTCCTGCATTGTGACGTTGAGTACATGTACTTGCCCAACAAAGGAGACTGAGGGGTCATGTGCAAGTACTGGGACGGGCAATTCCCGGGCTTGAACCCGACTTTCTTCCTTTTCATGCCAACAGTAGTGCAGACTTGGTAGTGCTCTGTTGGGGAGAGTTTGAGTGCAAATATGGTCTTTGTGGGGGGGTCCCTGCATCAATGCAGTGGACCTTTTGTGTTTGTCGCTTGTTAGCAGAATAGTTTAATTTAATTTATTTGCAAAATCATGCCCGAAGGCTAATTGCTTGTACAGTCAAGTATACAGAAACAGGAGACAGGTAACAATCTGTCTGGAAAAACCTCTACTTCTACTACTACTCTAGCTATTAAGGGGTTCGACTTCTTCTTTGAAGGCAGTGGATAATGAATAGCCCCACATTCTGCATAATTAGTGGGTTTTGTGATCTTAGTAGAAATGCAGTTTTTTGGTGATCTTCTAAATGACGAAATGATGGAGAGATTGTTGTGACTGTCTGAAATAATCTGTCATAACTTGTGTTATGTGTAACTGTATATGTAACTGTCATATGTGTTCCATAACTCACCAAGTATATGTAAATGGATGTTCATGATTTTTGGTAGGCAAGTTACTGTTGTGAAGACCAAGGTTAAATTAAAAAAAGGGTCTTGTGGGGGGTCCTTACATCACTGCAGTGGACGTTTTGTGTTTGTTAGTTTGTCAGTAGTTCTGGAGGAACAATTGCCTGGATTTTTGTATGGTGAATAGGTTTTGGGGAGCTTTTGGGTCATAGATAAAGTGGCATAAGTTTGGCTTGTGGGGAAGTGCAATGAGCCTTTTTGTGTGAAAATTTGGAAGGGCAGTTTATCTCCTTCCTTTGATCTAGTAGGTTAATGACCTTCTGGCCTGGCAGATCAGCTCCAAGTCCAATGACCCTGAGCGACAGCTGGGGATGATGTGGCTCAGGGTTCCAGGGATGATGGCAGCAAATAACATTGCTATGGTAACCAAAATGGTGCCTGGGAAACTGTCTTTCCAGACTTCCTTTTTGACACTGGGAAAGTGGGTTGTCAGAATATCGATCTGATTCATTTCTGCATAGTTCATAGCTGCTCATAAGAAGCAATTTAATGTATGATACCAAGGAAACTGTTATACTGCAGCACTATGTCCTGTCCCACTGTCTAGGTTACAGAGTAGTAGTTGTGTAGTACTACATGGTAGCAAGAACAGGATATAACATTTGGGCTTTGATTTAAGTTTATACATGAATAGAAATATAACTGTATGTCAGGGTAGGGACAAATACTAAATTCTTTTCCGTGTGAAAAAATAACATATATAGTACTTTCTTATTGAGTTATATACATTGATCTGTACTACATGATCTTTACAAATTTTGTTCAGATCATTTGTTGTCATTTGATATATTAGTTAGACATGAGTATCTTAAGAAGGAAGAAATCCCTGTGACTGTCGGATTATGACCGAGTTATCTCACAGCATGCCAGTCTCTGATGACAGGTGGGCTTCACCTGTGGAACAATCAGTCATGGGTTTATGTCTACCGCGGAGTGAACAATTATGTTCATTAGCATCAACACAAAACTGGAGACATTGATTTTCAATACCTTACTTAATACTATTTTCCATAACATTGTCCATATCATATTAGGCCACACCAATTTAATTTGTTGGCTCTAGGATTTTAGAAAAGAAATGAAGTGACAGGGCAAAAAAAAAATTCCTACTATCCTACATTTTAAAATGATATGTCCCAAGTTCCATTATAGAAGCCATGAAGTCAACATACCAATCTGGTTTATGATTTGAGCAATGAATTTTGAACTTTTAACCAAACTAGATGCAAATAGTACCATAGATGGAAAAACTGTAACAACTAGTACAGGAAGAAAAGGACTTCCTTCAAAGTTCATGGATAAAAATATGAGCATTTTGGAGTTTATACTGAATCAGATCCTGCAAATCAGACAAAAATGATGAGGGAAATGTTGAGAACCAATTGAGTAAATTGGTGTAGCCCTAAGGTTGAAACTCCCTCAGGCAGGCTTTCCTCTGAGTGTTTGTTAGGTACAGAACTCCCTGACCCTGTGTCCTACAGAGGACAAACTTGGCCAGAGGGTGATCTTCAAATGCAACCAGCTTAAAGTACCAGCCTTTTGATGTGTCGTTCATTGTGACATCACTGACAGATACTAACTATCTCTGTATCATCTTCATAGAACCCTGATGTCATTGTAGAGATAAATTTTCAAACACAAATCTGTAGCTGATATATGTTAATAGGTTGGAGGAATCTGTATGCAGCTTTTTTTGCCTTTAATGCAAATTATTAAGACTTATCACTTTAAATCAATTCATTCAAGGCACTCATGCAAGTATGGAGACATATTAAATCACAGACATTAGGGAGATTCTGAAGTATCGAAAATCTGATTTCAAAAACCAAGTGAGTCATTCTGAGTATTCCGTTTCAGCATCTCATTTGTAAAGGTAAAGCCATCATGAAAGGAACTGTGGCAGGCTTTACTAATGGCAGGAACCTCCAGAGACAAGATCCAGGTTTACAGCCAGGTTTCAGGACTGGTGCTAATGCAATCCTTCAGCCACCTGGGGGTGGGATTGATCGGCAAGTCACATTGTGTAGTCCCATCTATTTGTCTCAGGGATGCTGCAGTAAGTGTACTTAGTAAGCATACTGTGTATAAAACAGGGCTCAAAATACTTTTTCTGCACACCTGTACTGACAAAATTTACCTGTAACGGGAGGGGTCCTAATTCCGACCTATGTTCCATGCAAATGCACATACCTTTGGTAATAGTTTATCTGACCAAAAATCCACGGAAGATGGGCTATAATATTGACAGGTAAAGATCACAACGACTAAAGCTGCACAGCT